AATACTCTATATGATAAACGGTAGAGGCGCTACACATAGAGAACTCATGTTAAATGGACGACTATGAGAGACTCTTTTGGAATACTCTATATGATAAACGGTAGAGGCACTATAACAGAGAACTAATGTCTAATCGACGACTATGAGAGACTCTTTGTGGAATGCTTTATACGAAAAGTCCTATCACATAGGTAAAGCATATAAAATACCTTATACGAAGTACCCCATATGTAATACGCTTGGTTACATATGTAATATACCCTATATGAAATGCGTTTTACACTTATATGGTATACCCTATATGATATGTCCTTTGTGTATGTAGATAAGGCACATGAGGTATTCAATTGAATTGAAATATAGAATATCCTATTGGAAATACCCTTTGCTTATATGGTAGATCTTAAATGAAATATCTATATATGCCATAGGAATACCCATAGTGGTATACTCTAAGAGAAATACCGCATATGCTATATCCCATATAAATTACCATACACTCTATATGGAACAGCTTTCAAGTACATAGCTTACACCCTATCTTTTGTTATATGTTATATGGAATACATTCATATGTAACACCCAATATCATCAATATAAAATATATAAAATCATGCTAGGTAAAATGCCCTATATGCTAATGTACATATGGCATGCCTATACGTAACACCCTATATATGGTATACCCTATATGAAAGCCCCAATAAATGGTATATAATATATATATGAAATAGCTCAAGTTGCATATATGGTAAAGGCTAAGAAACTATCCCCCGTTAGAGATGTAGTTAGGGTATTCCATTACAATGAGAGATTGTAAAACCTTAATTTAATCTAATTTTGGGTAAAGCCTACTGAATGCATATGCTCCACATTTGTGTTGTAGCGCAGAGCGCATATCTAAAGCAACAGCTACAGTGAATACTAACTAGAAACAACTTTTTAGCGGCTGAGACCAAGCAAAGAAATGAAAAAATAATTGAATATTGGATTGAAAAATATAAAAAATTAAATAAAAATTAAAATCAAAATTATTAAATATGTATTTATTAAAATATTTAAATTGTAAAAAAAAAATATGCATATAGCTCAAATTACAGATATAGCCAGATAGATCTTTACTGCTGACCAATGCTGTCTAATTTCTGGTTTACTTCTCGGTTCGTGCCTCACAGCCGGTGCACACTGTACACTCTCCACATCCGATATATGTATGCTGCCTCTCTTTAGTTTCACGCTAGCCCAATGCGCACGTTCCGTGATCTTTGGCGGCGCGAGAGACCACGCCTCCGGCGTCTCTTAACTGGTCGAGCACGATGCTCCCAGCGTCTCTCGCGCTGCGAGTGGGCGTGTTGTGAGTCATTGCATGGGAACTGGCTTCCCAGGGCCCTCATTTGGCAAATGCTTTTAATTGGACTGCTACCACATGGTGGTGGTGGTGGTGGTGCTGATGGTGTTGGTAGTGCTGCTGCTGCTGCTGCTGCTGCTGTGGCTATAAGACGAAGCCATAAATACAAATTGCGCCATAACCTCGACACTAAATAAACCGTAAAGAGCGGCCCTAGATGAACCGTACTCGGCGGCTGCAGCGGGGCATTAACATTTTGGTTTATAAAAGAGAAAGAGAAAGAGAAAGGAGGAGAACAAGAGGCAACCGAACAAAATGGCGTCTGTTAGCCATTAGCATTAGCGAGTTGGCCAGCTACGGGCGCTGCGCCGATCAAAGCAAAGCGATTGCCGGAGGCAGAGGAAAATGCTTGTTTTTTTTTGTGTATTTTATTTTTTATTTTGTTGTTGGTTTCTGGCTTTCATCACCCACACTCATTCAATTAACGGTAAATGCAGGCCGCCATCGCTGCTGCAAAACGCTTAAATTTCCATTAGAATTGGCCCCAGCCTCAGCATCTGGCTGTATTACCTGTACCTGTAAAACACCCTGCCCCAACCCCAATGCTCCGACTACGTTTGTTTACCTTTGCATTTTTGTTGCACACACACACACACACACATATATGGAGATAGAGAGAGAGAGAGAGAGAAGGCTTACCTTTGTCTATATTTATATGGCATTGTTATTTTCAAACGATCCCATTATAAATCTTAACATCCAGTTATTCACAGGATTCACATTGCCCGCCCGGGCTACACCCAGGTGCTCTGTTGTTTCTCTGTGGGCTGTTTACAATTATTTTCGATTAAGTGGTTCGCATTTTGTTTGCCTCAGTCGCAGCCAAACAAGCAGCGTACCAGACTCCCAATCCGCATCGATCTAAACATTGCTCTAGCATAAATACCAGAACCGACGACGATTATATACTAAGGCATTCATTTGTTTTGAGTTATGGCATGTTGGTATTACCTTTTAATTGCCATAATTTATTCATCAATTCTGCCAGGCTCTCAGAGTGTGAACATTTAAAGGCAATTTGCGAAGATTGTGCGCTGTGAGAAGCGCAGAGGAAGGCACGCGCACAGCAATGGAATATGGAAAGTTTATATTGAGTTAATCTTAATCTGTGCGCAGCTATTATTATGTATACATTTATTTATATACTAAACATTTCATATATTATATAGCTAATATACATATTTATTCTAGATTTACTTAGTTTATTTTATATGCCTTCTCTTACACCCTTAATCAATTGATATTTTGACTTGGAGTCTATAAAGCCTTTGGGTGATTGTATGTATGAAGGCGAAATTCACTCTCTCAAGTATATATACTTTTGATCCACATGACTAACTGCCTCGATCTGACTATATTCAATTGTCTATTTATACATGTATATTAAAAAATCACCAAGTTTACTGAAATCTACCACGATGTGTATTCCGTAGATATATATATATGTATATATATATAAAAAATAGGAATATTATATTATATTTTAAAATACTCAGTTTTCCTTGCTCTTGTATAGCATAATTATTGATTTTTAATTGTTTAATCACAAATTCCAAGACGTTAATAGAATCCAGAGAAACCAAATGAAGTATTCTGCTTAATGAATACAAGTGTCGTCAATTTTACAGAACATGAGAAACTAGATCTAGCTAGAAATGTATAAAAGGGGTAAGCTGAAATCAGTGTTGAGTACAAGGATTTTAGGAAACTCTGTCTTTCAGGGTTTTTCTTATTCTTGCTGAAAGTTATAGCCTAACTTATTTCAAATATTATCAACTTGTTTTGTCATAAACAAATATCAAGAATCGACATGGCAAAACTATACAATAATTCCCTAACAGGTAGACGCTACTAGGAGGAAATTAGTGTGTGTGTATGACGACTAGACTGATAAAAAACAGCAACTACAGTGAATCGAAAATCGCGATAAGTCGAAAAAACATCTATGTCCTTGAAGGAAATTCATTGCCGAAAATTCTCGATAATTTGAATTTTGAATAAATAAAACTGATCCCCTTTCGATTTTGAATTATCGGGATTCTATTGTATATACAGCAAATTCAAGGCACATACTGCAGGCTCTAGCAATATGAGCTGGATTACTTATAATCCAATTGGATTATAACATGTTCGAGCATGCGCCTATCTAGGCTATAATTACATACATACATATGTATTTAACCAAACTAAAGCTAAATAATATTGTCCACTTATATATAAACCGATTTATATATCAAATCTGATTTCTTAATTCTCTTGCTCCAAGGAATATATAAACAAGCAAACTGTTTGTCTTAATCGATTCGGGCAACTCGTATTTGAATGATAGCAGCTAGTTTTAATTGTGGTAATAGATATTTCGCTTTCTCCTTTCAACACGCACGCCCATTAGCTAACTAAGGTAAATTTTGACTGGATCGAAGCTCAAGTCTAAATTAGTTTAATCACAATATTGCCCATATTTATTGCAACTGCATATATGTATGCATTATATATATAATTTCACATGTGTGTGCATATTGCTATATGCATGTGTGTGTATGTGTGTGTGTGTATGTGAGGAGTGCAAGTATATTCACTCGTTAGTGCTATGAGATGACATAAATTTGGAATTGGCTGATTTATGGAAATGTGGATTTTTCAATCGACTGCTGCTGCTGGCAGGCCAAAAAGGAAATATGTATATGTAGTTGTATATATATATATATATGCATTCATACATATATATACATATATTGATATAGATATGAAATTAGTTATGCAGCTAGTGTAGTAAACCTAAACAAGACGCTCCAATTCTTGATCCAAATCGTGTGCGAGTTTCTGTTAGCCGCTTAGCTTGCCTTATTTCTTCGAGTTCTTCGGATTCTTCCTGGTATTGGTTAGCATGCTGCGAGACATGCGGCCAGCGGCCAGACGTAGTCCACTGCGGAATGGCTGAGGGTTGTTGTTGTTCAGGGAGCGCTGAGCCATCAGATCGTCAAAGTCATCGTCATCTGTATTTGTATTTGATGATGGAAAGTCAGTTTCAGTTTCAGTTCCAGTGCCAGTTTCAGTTCCAGTGCCAGTTTCGTTTCCAGTGCCAGTGCCAGTTCCAGTTCCAGTGCCAGAACCGGAGCCAGTGCCAATGCCACTGCCAATGCCAATGCCAGTGGCTATGCCAGATGCTTTCATCTTCAACTCTTTGCCAGCATCCAGCTTGAGAGCCCCGGCATTATTATTAGCATTAGCATTAGCATTAGCATTACCTTTAGCATCGGCAACGGCATCAGCATCGACGGGAATATCGACATAATTATGCCCATTGGCGTCCACTGACTTACGGGTCTTCTTTGTGGTGCTCTTCGTGCAGCACCAATAGGCGGCAAGAAAGTCTAGCTCCTCGGTTGACGATGAGCTCTTCAGCTCCTCCTCCGGCACGGATTCCTCAATTTTGGGCTCCGCCAGGCGTGCGAAACTGTTTGAAGACAACTTCATGTCGTCGACGCTCAACGAACGCTTCACCCGCAAACGGTCACGTGTGCGGCGCAGTCCGCTCGGAGTACGCTCGTGTCCGCCCTTCTTAACGGTCTGCTCATAGTTCTCGGCGATGCGCGACACATGGCGCTGCTTCTGGTCGAGCTTGTCCAGTTCCAGTTCCTTCTCGCGATACTGCTTGGGTGTCAGCACCAATGGCTGCCAAAATAGCTCCAGCGTAGACATGCGCTTCACGCCCTCATCCTCCAGAATGCAATCGTTGGCCAGCAGGCGTCCCTTATACGTCAGCCGGCTGAATGCCATCGGCACGTTCATGGTGCGTCCGATGCGCTTCTTCAATTCGGCCACGTTCCGGGAACGATCGGTCTCATAGATACTCTTGCGGCCATCGCGGGTCAGTATCTGGACCTGCAGCTTGCGCATCTTACCAGTGGCGAGTGGAATGTGCATCTAAAACGGAAAGAGTTTGTCGGACAGTCCACGTAGAGATAATTTGTGCAGCTGCGTGTGCTTTTTAATGTAATTTGGAATTTTTTTTTTGTTTTTTTCTAATAAATGTGTTTGACTTGAGCCTGGCTAAAACTGAAGGCCTATGCTGTTAAATTGTTTTTTTTTTTTTTTGTAAAAGGAAATAATCGACTGAAGCTTAATTTTCGAATTTGGTAATAGTCCCTCCTTCAATTGCCGACCATATCGTCATATTCCCGCGACAGGATTGCATGTCGAAAAATGTAATTTAATATTATTATACATACGTCTAAATTGAAATGGATTTCTTTCCGAAACTAGAGCGAATTCAGTTGGTATTTTTTGCAAGTATGTGAAATAGTTCTGCATTAAAGTCTCGATTTCGCAAAAAATCAGCATACGATCATTTCGCGGGACTACGACGATATGACGATCTAATATGTGTATGTACCTTATCTACATTATCTGATCTATTAAAAATTACATTTTACGTAAAAATTTCTTTGGATGCCCTCTATCTATCTTTCTTCTTCACATTATGACGATCCAATATATTCTATCTAATTGATTTTATTAATCTATTTATTTTTTATTAAAAATTAAATTGGAAGGAAACATGTCTTTAGATACTGTCTATCTTCCTCTCTATCTCATACTCGAGCTCTATTTCACTATCGCTCTACCACTCTCTCTCTCTTTCTATATCTCTGTTTCTCTATCGCGCGTTCTCTTACACTCTCACTTTCTCTCTATAACACTATGATTCTCGTTTACTCTCTCTTCAGCTCTGTCCCAGTATTGCGCCTTCTCTCTCTCTCTATCTCTCTCTCTCTCTCTCTCTCTCTCTCTCTCTCTCTCTCTCTCTCTCTCTATCTCTCTCTCTCTCTCTCTCTCTCTCTCTCTCTCTCTCCCTCTCTTTCACTCCCTCTTTAGCTCTCACTATCGCTCCATTTCTGTCTCTCTCTCTCTCTCTATTGCTCTGTCTTTCTTTCTCCCGCTCACTGCTTCTCTCGCACCCTCTCTCTCTCTCTCTTTATCTCTCTCTCTCCGCCTCTTCTTCTCAATCTTCTTCTTTTACGAGCTGCATCCTTGTTTATAAGAAATCTACAATTTGAATAAAAATTAACTATAAAGAAAATGGGGATTTTACAAGATTTACATATACATTTCTCTCGGAGGAAGTGAGCACGCTTTCTCTCTCTCTCTCTCTCTCACACACTTTCTCTCCCTCCCGTTCCTCTCTTACCTCCTACTCGTACTCATAGAACCCGCTTCCGCGGTTCGTTGTGAAGGCGTTGATAAATTTATGCATTGGCATTGCTTCCGGTTCTAATGTGCTTGTGCGTGTGCGTGTGGGTATGTGTGCGAGTGGTGCGCGTGTGCGTGTGCGCGTACGTGTGTCAACCATCGAAGCACTGCAAATGAATGTGGCAGCCAGTCCTTAGACAAGCCACCAAATCAATGGCACCCCATAAAAATAACAATAAATACACACTTTTATCTGATTTTGGAGCCGTCAGGGGAAATATTCGTTGATGCAGTTCAAAGAGCTCACGGGATTTCCAAGATTCCGTTTTGATCGTTTGTATAAAATTTATACTTTATTGAAGAATACGAAAAAAACACACACGTATAATAATTACTTCGCAAAAATGTCAAATGTGAAATGGAAATTCAATTGTAAAATGTCAATTGTTAAATGTCATTTAGAGCAGCATATGGAAGAGAGAGCAGGCCAGCATCAGAGCCAGCGACAGCATGACAGTGATGGCACCATCGCGTGCTATCGGTATGAGGGTATCGTTCGCCAGCAGGGCATTGCAGCCGTGTCCCTCGCAGGTGTAGCAATTGCCATCGATGACGCACTGCTTATTGGCCTGGGCCGAGCTGAGGCAGCCGCGCTTGAACGCTCCCTCGCCGGTGCGTCCGTTGTAGCGAATGTAGCACTTGTCGCCGAGCTTATAGGTCGGACAGACCTTGCTGTATGCATGATTCTCGATGGCGCAGCTCGAATTGATCGAATCGCCGGAGCATATCAGGCACTTGGGACGATATTGTGGGAAAATCAGACGGTTGCAGCCCTCATTCGCTGAGCAGACGAGACACTCCAGCTCATTGTTGCACGATTTCAATGTGCTGTTGTCCAGATCGCTGGCGCAGCCACGAATGGTGTATCCATCTAAGAAAAGACATTCAAGCCTATTGTTATCAACTTGCACTTGCACCATTTGGCTAACCAATTTATATACTTAAGACGCGTGTATAGCAAAGGCTATTATTATTGGTGGGGCAATCCTTGGCCATAAAGCTCAATGGTTGGGTGGCGCAGCGCTCTTCAGTCTTCGAATGGCATTGCACGCAGGCATCTGTACGGAAAGCAAAGTTGAAATACATCAACAAATAAATTAATTCGAATTGCATCAAACATTTCATACTCTAATAGAATTCTATTGAATATATGGCGGGCTAGACGAAAATATAACTGTAATTCAATTGTAAGTCTCGGTTGCCAAATCCGTTTAGTTTTTATCGCCGCGCGCCAAATAAACTGTAATCTAATTAACGGGCACAATTGATAATAGTTACGACACAGTACGTTTGGCTTATTTTCTCTTATCATGTAAGAAATTTCAGCGTCTATTTATGTCTGCGTATATGTGTGTGTGTGTAATCGTAATATATAAGCGATTACATATATATGTATATAATGTATACAGGTATATTTATAAAATGAATTCTGCGATAAATAAAGATTAAAATAAGAGATAAAAAAAAATCAATGTTGCATGTCTACGCTTACTACATAAGAAACAAGTAAGAACGTTGCAGTCAGGTATTACCGAATGCAGGATACTCACTGATATTCCATCAGCAATTTACTAGCTAAATTTAGCTCCAATACTCTACACCCCTACTGGGCGTGGGCGTCTTAGAACGAGCTAGCGGTAGCCTAACAGTAAAATTTTCGCTCCAAAAATGTTTGTATGTATTACAGAGTATTTTTCGATATGCCACGGCGCTAAAGAGGCGTAACAATGGGTCATCGATCGAGGATCTTGCTAGTAACTCAAATATCTAAATTGGAATGCATTTTTCGATTTGCCAAAAAAAAAAACGATTTGCCAAAAAACACTATAAATCGGAGATGTACACGAGTATGTGTTTAAAATTTCAAGTCTCTAGTCTCAATAGCGTCGCAATAAACTGCGTTCATACGGACAGGCAGACAGACGGACAGACAGCAAGAGGGACATTGCACAAAGGCCAAACCCCAACTCATTTCACATATGTACATATATACAAATATGTATGTATAATAACCTTTACTCTGTTGCCAAGGAGGCTAGAAAAAGAGCGATTGATAAGGTTCGCAAATTGTTTGTGTGTATGTGTGTGCGCGTGCATATGTGTGCGTGGAGATCATACTGATGACGGAGGCAGAGGAGAATAGCCCCAGTGATTCATATGCAACAACAAACGGTAGATAAGATAGATACAAGTATACAAATAATGTATACATGTACATATGTATACAAATAATGCGATGCATGTATACTTATATACATCTATCTTGAATCGGCTTAATTTACATATATATTTATTAATTTATATATTATATATATCTCCTGAAGACACATTTTTAATATCAACTGAGCTTACACTTGCATGCATATATATGTATGTATATGCGTAATATTCGAACTTGTGATACGATAAGCATAGAGCTTACGTACGTACTATATATAAATGGATAAGATAGACTATAAGAAAAAAAAAACTTCGACCAATATTGCATAAGACACATATTCCACAAATTAATATATAAATTTAAATCTATTGCGGCACAACGAAAAAAAAAAAGAAAAAAAAAGAAGAGATTTATAACAAGAAATAATTTGAACATTTTTTACCACTGTGGACGTAAGCCAAAAAGGCGCATGCAGCCATTATCAGCAAATAGAACTTCATTTTGAGTTTAATTAATACTTGAACACAATTATTTGCTATAAATACTAATAAAATAAATGATATTGGCGACACTGCACTTAACACGTACGCTTTGAAGTCTAAAAACAAACTAAAAGCTCGAGTAACGGGCGTGAAAATACGTAGTTCCACTTACCGTGAACGGTAGATATCGAAAATGTCAATATCAGTAGCAGAATTACTGAGCGGCATCGTAGCTCTCATCGATCACCTGATAGTCGTCGTCCATTGGCGATAAAATATTAATTTTGAGAAATACAGTACTTCTATATATTCTTGTGCTAATACAACGACTGTTAGATATTAAATGCATTTGCACAAATCTCGACTTTTACTTGTTCATCAAATTTGTTTCAGGTTTAATTGGCAGACAAAAACTGCTTGAATTTGGCGCTCTTTAATTGTATCGATAAGCTGTGTAAAACAAATTCATTGTGTATTGTATTAAAAATGTAATTAATTTCTGGTCACAATTCCTTTAAAAATGAGCAAGCTAATCCACAAAACCTGATTTAGTTCTGTGCTAGTTATTAAATGAATAAATATCTACTTATGAAATATGAATGGTATTCCTCAAACATTTTCATGTACAATTTCGAACTATCGATAGGTCGCACTGGAAGTGCTAGAGTGCTGCCACATCTAACGAAATCTAAAGAAACATATGTAATCAGATGGCAATTGGACCCATGCATATTGGAATATAAGAATTGCATTTGCGCAAACGCTTAACTGGGTTTAATGATTTCAACAGAAGCTGTATTAGTTGAAAGTGCATCGAGGACATCGGTCAGAGCATGACATTAATAGTGTGCATCTGCGACTATTGGCAACACCGCCATTACTACAATCGACAGTCCATACAGAGAGCAGGCGGCACTGACGCCGACAAGAACCAGAAAAAAGCTGTTCGCCGGCTGCAATTACAGGTAGATGCCATCACTGGAAACTACTGGCTGCGCGAACTGCTTCAGCAAAAGGTGCTGCGCGAGCGACTGCAGACAGAGCACAATGTGCAGCTACTATGGCTGTCCTTCCATCCGCCAGAGCGCGACACCATCGACTATAAATGGGCAGACATGCTGGCGCATACAATATGGGAGCATATCGAGATGGAGCATCTAATGTCCTGGCTCTCAACTTTAGGCGGCGGCTTCTCAGCCCTGGGCGAACAATTCGAGCGCTGTGTAAGTGCAAAAATGTACGAAGAGCAACAGAATGCAGAAGATTAACCGTATATATAAAAAAAAAACAAAACAAAACTATGCAAATTACAGGCCCAGACAGCAGGAAAGATATCACTGCAGCAGCTAACGATTGGTTTGCGAGTCGGCGATCCATTTTTGCAGGCGCGCTGCAAGCTCTACTACAGCATTTCCCTAATCCAGCGCGGCCAGCTGCGCAAGGCCAAGCAAATGATTCGCGCCCAATATCAGTTCGCGAAGCAGCACGAGGAGCACGATCACCGATTGGTGCGCATGTGCTTAGGCATTTGGCTGCGATTGCGTTACGAGTACGAGGAGCGGAGGAAGCGGAGGCTAACTATAAAGGACCAGTCATAACTCTCTCAAAGAGATTCATTAGAAGACTAAGCATAAAATGAAAGCATGGTTTACTGTTAGTTGTTAAGATACAAAATATACTATTTACATATTCTATAATAATATACATATATATATTGGTTTGTATTTTGTATAGGTATATATATTTATATACATATGTATATAATTCTTTATTTGTATGTATGTATATGTGGATGTACGTATAAAATGCGATTTAACATTCCAACAGCGCGTGGCCGGCACCAATTCACGCTAAACTCTTCTCTCCTATTCTTTTCTTCGTCCCCATTAGAAAAAAAAATATTTCCATTTTTTACTTACAACTACACAGTTTTCTTTTCTACGCGTGTTAGGATTATATATGTAGAATAAAATATGCTACCGAAAACAATTGACGTCACATGTGTGAGTGTGTAAGCGTGGCTGTGTGTGAAAGTCTGTATGTGTCTGTGTATGTGTCTCACTATATAAGTTTTATCTAATATGAGCCACTAAATGAATATCAGCTGAGAGAAGCTTATACGCATGCGCTATATACATGCATATATAATATAGATAATAATAAAAAAAAATATATATATATATATAAGAATATATATATATAGAAATCTGGCTAAAGTTTTAAGTTAGATTATCGCCGTAACTGAACATAGAATTTAAAGGTTTGTGTGGATATTGCTTGCAGTGCCAAATTTATGGTTATTATTATTTCCATGCTTGTCCCCCTCTAAAGCTTCATCATTCCATGCGACTTATTGCGCCAATGTGCCCATGGGATCCCAGGCGGGCAGCACAATGGGGTCCATATCGAATACGCGCATCACATCTTCGGGCACATATTTCTTATCGACGACCACCTCGAAGCCGAACTCCCTAAACCAATCGGCGCACATGACCAGATAGCCCTTCTCTCCACGATCCTCGCCCCAGGAGTTCTCCACGCGCAACTTCTGAGCAACGCCATTTTTCTGCAACATAAACACAATGATGATTACAATCATATCATATCGTAGGCATGCAAATTAATGGCGCTTACATCCACAGAGACGGCTGTGAATACCATGGCGTGGGTCATGGCCGATTCACCATAGATAAGACGATCCGCCTTCGAAAATGTTGTTTGTATGTCAATGTCGAAGACCAGCTTGAAATCGTGGCTGCATCCATCGAAACAAAAGGGACGGCAAGTGCAGCGGAGCACATGAGTGAGAAAGAGAAGGATATAGTTACTGGTATTGTATATCTGCACAAACACTTACACATCAACAGCCTCGATGCCCTGCTTGGAGGCGAAACGCTTGCTAACCTCGCAACCAAACCAGACGGCTTCACCTGCCTTCAGCGATTTGGTTACCATGGCCAATAGGAGATCGACATTTTGATTGTTGTAGAGCACTGGACGACCGCCGACAACATTGCCCAGACAATCGACCGTATAGACCTGGTCGTAGCTGCTCGTTGGACGCGGATCGGTGACCAGACACACCTTGTCCTCGACATTGAAATGCGGCTTCACATAGTTCTCGTAGAACTCCAACGAACTGATGGGTCCAATCGACTGATAGTTCTTTGACTTATCATAGTACTCCCAGGTGAACGTCTCGGAGGGAATGCCCAGGCAAATGCCTACTACCTTGTAGATCTCCGACATTTGCTCTTGAATCTTGCAGGTGATCTCCTCGTCACTGGGCTGCTTCTCCAGCAGAACGCGCAAGTGCCTCGCATATTCGCGCAGCTGCAAGAGATCAAGAGATCAAGGAAACCATTTCAGTTTTGTTTTTTTTTATTGCGATTCACGAATGAGCCAGCAGTTGATGCCAACTTACCTTGCTCTTCAGTATGGCATTCATTCGTATGCTGGACTCGCAGCTAAAGCTCTCCGGAAAGCATTTCTTTGGCATCAGACCATGTTTGGTTATCAGATTGACCAGCATGTGCCACTGGCCTCCATCAGAGGTTGGGTCGAGCAACAGGAACGACACCAGACGGCCGTCGACTTTCTCGCCTCGCTTCGCCGTCTTCACGATGTTGTTGAGGAAATAGTTGCAACGCTCGATTTTGTCCCAGTAGAAGAGGAACGCCTGCGAGAACTCAAACTCATCCAGATTGTAGTTCTTCATGAAGGGCAGGCGTATACAATTTAGAGCGGCAAACAGCCAGCAGCGACCGGAGCTGCGCTGATTGGTGACCGGTTTGCCCTCCGTTTCCACCTTATAGTTGAACACATGGTTGGTCGTCTCCAGCGTCTTGCGGGACAAGCACACATCGAACGGATCTACGCGGGAGCACACGTTCTGGGCGAGCAGATTCTTGGGTTCGCTGTAGAAATTCTCGCGCCACTTGCTCAACAGGTCCGGCGTAATGGCACTCTGATTCCCATCATCCTTTGACCCGAACATCTTGCCGTCAGTGGTGTTGTTGTTGCTGCCATTGCCGCCACCTTGGATAACTTCGTTAGCTGCAAGTATATCGGGACTAGTGGTAGTGCTTGTGGAAAACAATCCAGCTGTTTCTATAGTCTGCGTTGCACCTGCAGACGTAGCTACAGTTGCAGCCGCAGGCACATTTGCCACCTGTGAGAGCTTCATTGCGCGTGCAAGCCGATAGACCACAAATTTGTTATACTCTGATACAATTAAAAAACTTCTGTCACATATTTAACAATTACTATGAGGCTGTCGAATACATACGCTTGTACATAATTCTAGGATCTGTGGGCGTAATCTATCACAGCTAGCTATTATTGAAAACAAAAAATAGAACAGCCACACAGGTATACAAAATATTTGTATATTTAAAAGACTATCGGTGTAAGCATAATAGTTCGATAACCTTTTTTTTTTTTTCTTGGTGGCCTACGTTCATCGATGCTATTCCCGCAATTTTGATGATAAAAGGAAATTTTGAAAATCATTATTTAATTGAACAAACAAAATATTTAAATGACAGTGTTTTGTTTCAATTTAAGCAGCGTATTTATTTGATTTATTTATATTAAATACAAAATGCAAATAAATTACAAGCAGTTAATTCTTTTTTGTTTGTCTTGAATGAAAAATAAAGCAAACCATGCGCTCATCTTTTCTGAAGACCCCCAAGGTAAGTATTTTTTCTCCTGATATTTTCTGCTGATATTAAACATTAAGCTTGACCATTCCATGCAGTTGCTTTTTATATTTGAAATATTATATATATAATTTCTACAAGAGAAAGTTTATATTTGCTTTCATATAAAACAGAAAATTCATGCTGAAATTAATTTTTAAAAATATATCGCATTTAAATATTCGCATACGAAAATATCGTGTTGTTAATTAAAGCACCCATATTCGATTAATCGATATGTTAACAAGATTGCATATATTATTCGTTTTTTTGTTTGTTTTCTATTTCTTTTTTTTTAGATCGTTTCACGTACGTACTTATGCAACGCATCTACACACATACGCACACACATGCATATGTAAAGTATTTGTGTATATCCAAATATACTAATGTGTGTAAATTAGAAAATCTGATCGACAACTGTGATGCATTTTTGTGCACAATGGGAGCGGTTCTGGTGGGCGTGGTCGTCTAAACAAAGCAGTTGTGTGCTGCGCATAACTCAAAATTTAATTACGCGCAATGCCAGCTGCTGGAGCTTATTAACTGTGACTTTATTACTGTGTGGACATGTATGTGTGCGTGTGTGCTTAAGTGCATATGTATGTATTTGTGTGTTGCACTTCAAAACAATGAATGTACACTTTGTTGTAAGAAAACCTGCGCAAAATATTTCTCCCCCAACCCATAGCTAATTTCATACACTTTCATCTAAGTACCGTTGCGGGTGCATTGTGTATGTGTGTGCTATTAAAAAATAGACTTTGGAAACACTGTAAAGCAAATAAAGTAAATAGTGTGGAACGTAAATCTGTTCTGACTTTTGATAAGAGAAACAGACATACATATGTACGTGAACATACGTATGTACATACAATATGTATACACATCTATTATATATGGGTGTCTGAGCAATAATCGTATAAGACTTAATAGCAGAAATCTTCGAAAAACTGTTTTTATCTCGACTGAGATGACTTGAGCAACAGCCCTAACCGCAGTTACGGATGAAGCGATGATGCAGAGTGCAATTAAACCAGTTTAACGGCACATACACAAACACAAGCACACATAGATGCACACACACACGTACAGCTGTTAGGGAACTGAAGGCAGCCGAAGGAGGGCAAAATGCCGTTTTAAACTTTCGCGCAAGCCGGCATGCTGTTCGCTGCTGCCTGGCATAAATCTAAACAAACCAACAGAAAAGGGTAAAAAAACTAAAATAAAAAATAATGTATATGTATATAAGCAACAGCAGCAGCAAACGGAAAACTTGTTTTTGCTCAGCTTTTGTAAGAGTGCGTCAAGTGGTGTGCCACTGTTTGTATGTGTGGGGGTACAAAGGCAAAGAGCAAACCAGCAAAAACAAACAAATTTGGGTGAAATTTTACTTTCGTTGTCGCTGCCGTATTGGGGCGTCAGCAAGCTGTTTCGTGCTCGCTTCCGCGCAAATCGGAACGGGGGGAACGGTATTGATGAGCGATGCCGTTGCCTGCACCAGAACCAAAAGCAACTACAACGACAGCAACATTTTTCTTGGTCTCTCGCTATCTCTTGCACTGCTGCTGCTGCTACTGCTGTTGCTGTAGGCAATTATTTTATTTTTTTTTTTTTACAAATTATTGTAGTGCTCATAGGTCATTCATTTCACTTACACATTGTGGGAGTTTTTTTTTTTTTTTTCTTAACGTTGATAATTAGTTGGCGCTTGACTCGGCTGCAATCTTAACTGCACTTTACACTTAATATTTAAATTTATTTCACTTTTTGGTAATGTGTACAGTGCAAGCAACTATTATGAACTGTTAATTTCGCTCTATTTAGTTGCTATTTTTATTTACTGATGAGGAAAATGAAAATGATAATGTTTGGCTTTGGCCCGAATCACGAAACAGAATCCAAGAGACAAACGCGAAAGTATCGATGCCACGATAACGACGACAATGCTGCCAGATCACAGTTTCCAAGTGTGAAATGTATCGATATATCGATATATGGAATACAATTAATTGGTATATTTTGCAGCTTCCTGCTGCCTGTTGTTGCTTTGTCGCGTTGTTGTTGCTGCCTGCGCCGACTGAATTGTGAGCAGGTCGCGAATTTTGAAATCGCTCCATTCACGCTGCTCGCAAACTGGGGGGAAAAAACAGAGAAATAAAAAAAAAACCATAACACATACATATCTACATATATGTATATTCCTAACGTGCATGCCAAATAACGAATCTCGATCAAGTGTTCGTTTGGATACGAGGCTCTACCAAGATGAGCGCCAATAGCAACAACAACTTATGCGAGGACATCTCATTGTTCAAGTCCTATATAGATTATTTTGATGTGCTGCCGTTGGAGCTTAAGAACGACATCATCTACTGCCAGCGAGCAATGCGCGACTTTCTCAAAGTGCACGGGGTGAGTAACAGCAAAAATCTAAAAATCAAGCAAGCAAAAAAAAAAAAAACGAGAGCTGAACAAAAAAAGAAATGTAGACCATAAAGACCATGAATATGTTAAGCAACCTGTGTGACGACCGTTGGCTAACTTCCACTTCTGTTCTGTTCCGATATCTTCTCAATTCCCACTCCATGTTGGATGGATTGCAGCTGGTGTCCGATGTGTTCAAGGAGCAGGCCGATGCGGTGAGTAGCCCAATTCCATAACTGTCCTGCATTACGCATACCATCTATTATTTATATACCTATATGTATATGTATGTATTGTTTGTATGTATGCGATTATGTATATAAGTGGATGTATATTTTCTTTGTTTGGAGTAACATAATAAATAATGTGTAATGAAAGCCAATAAATGATATCGCATATATAGAGAGACAGTGTTGCCACCTTTAATTAGTCCACACATCACACTTGTCCAAGTAGCTCCCGTAACCCAAATGCTTCTGTGGCTGTTGCTGGCGCTGCTGGCCAATGCTGCTTTCTTAATTTATTGGCAATTTGGCAATGCACCGTTTCACTCGATTAGAGATGGGCGCGTGTCAAGAGCACTGGAATAATTATTACTTAGATATGTTTTTTGCGTGCACACATACATATGCACAAAGATATGTACAATGTATGCCATGTATGTACATATGTGTGTATGTATTTAGAGGGAGTTTTGTTTAAATGTATTCCCTATATTATGTATGTATACATATCATATGTATGTATCTGTTGCATGCAAAAATATAGAATATGTACATTCTCGATATTTGCACAGAATTACTGATCGTTAAATAAACAAAGACGTTCTATGAAAAAATTATGCACAAAGCGGAGCAGGAATGAGCAGCAGCAGCTTCTGCTGCTGCTTAAAATGCGCAACGGAATGTAGGTACATATGTACATACATACATATGTATGGCTATGTATACATATGTACATACATACATACATATGTATGGCTATGTATACATATGTACATACCATATGTACATATGTATGTGCGTCTTTGCGTGTGCTTATATGTACATACCTATGTATGCATATTTAATGAAGTAAAATTATAAATAAATGAATAAATAAATATACATACATATGCATGTAAATTTGCCAAGGCTGATACCCTGTAAAAAACTAAATTAAAGCTCCTTTTTATTTGCATTTTTTCATACGACATTTGCGTAATTCGCATCATTTTTCTATTAATTTGTTTGTCGTGAAACAAGAATTTGAGGCACGTGCGACGGCACGACACACGACATTCAACTCTGTTTTTTTCCCTTCGTTGTTGTTGTTTTTGTTGCTGTTTTATGTCACTTAGTCATAGCCGATCGATGATGATTGTCCAATAATTTGTTGTATTAAATAACCGCATTTTGCAGGATCCGGTGCAGATGCGGCGCATCCTCGACGAGCTCGAGGCGGAAGTATACGAGATAAATGCTGAGCAACAATGGCTGATGCGGCGCCTGGACAAGCAGCTAGATTCACTATACAAGAAGCTGGAGGAAAGCAATATACGAATTTTACCTGAGATAGGCAGCGAGTACATCTCCAGCCTGATCGTGCCTTTCATTGGCGATGCCAACTACAAAATCTATCCAAAATCTGTGCTGTGTCGCGACACCGAAGAGATGCTTATACGCAAGCATTTCCTCATCTCGCACGACGACGACGGCGGCATTGAGCCGCTCAAGCTCAGCGAACTGGATGACAATGTGCCGCTGTTGCTGGTGAATGCACTGACTGCCACGCCCACTGCCAACATCGCTGCCCCGGACATTGTCCAAGCCTCGACCAGCAGCGGAGCGCAGATGCTGGTTGATAAGAAGGATTTGGGCGCCAACATAATGAGGGCTTCGTCATCGTTAACGCCAGCGCCAGCGGAGCTCCAGCCTGAGTTGTTCAAAAAGGACGATCCGCGTTCGCTGCTGATACCGCGTAACGGCCAAACATCCGTTGAACAGCCGGAGAAGTTCACTGAGTCAACGTCTTCATTGACGACACCACCGCCACCGCCACCTCCGCCCCCGCCGCCACCGCTCGTGGCCGTCAAGCAGCGGGCGTCCCGAGCAGATGCCAAGCAGGCAAACAAAACGAGATCACCGCCGCCGCTGGCGCCCATCACCAAGCCGCCAATCAGCACTGACTTCGAGGTTGTTGCCCAGAGTAGAATGAATTTGCGCCAGGCGCTGCGTCGCGCTCGCAAGACCAAACAACAACCGCGCCAGATCGACGAGGAGGATGTCGTTGTGCTGCCTGTCGACAAGGTGCAGACGGAGAGCACCCCGCCACCCAGCGTCACGCCGCCCAAAGCGAAGGCGGCCAAAGCGATCGAAGTTATTGCTATCCCAGCTGTCCCGGCCACAGCACACACAACGAACAAGAAGTCAGCGCCATCGGTGTCCAGCAAACAGTATAAGACGCGCAATGCGCACGGGGTTGGACGTAAACCGACGTCGAATCCACCAGCATCGCAAGTGGCTGCGCAGCAGGCGGCAGCAGCAGCAGCAACAGCAGCAGCAGCAGCAACGGCAGCAACAGCTGCAGCTACAGCAACAGCAGCAACTGCAGCTGCCACAACTGTGGGCTCGTCCGGCTCCTCTGATGATTCGAATCACGAGCTGGAGCTGGAGCAACAGCGTCTGTGCGCTTCGGCGGCACAATGGCGCGATGAGCCGCGCGAGACACGTGTTCTGCCCTCGGAATACGGGCGGGAGAATTTCCTTGGCCTATTCGGGCTCTACACCCACGAGACAATCAAGAAACTGTGCCAGCGCCACTCGAAGCGTAAACGTCGAACCGTTCAGAATGCCAGCGGCGTTGTCTTTCACTATGGTCAGCAGCTGGCCGCCTTCGATACAGTGCGCCAGAAGAAACTCAAGGATAAGCCGGAGTTTCTGCTGTCGCCCAAGGATAAGCGACTTCAGGCCAAAAAGGCCCACAAGGCCAACGCGACAGCCGCGGCGGCTCGGAAGAGTAAGAGTAATACGCCTGAAAAGCTGGAAGACGCGGGCAACAGTCAGCCGGACGGCGGCAAACAGAAATGTAAGGAATGCAAGAAACGCGGTGGTAAGTCCAGATCTCCAAATAAGGACGTCCTATATGCTCGTAAGCTGTTAATGATGCACTACCGTATACAGGTTGCATGGGATTAATCTATTCTACTTATATATTTTTAGAAAATCTGCAGAGCTGTCAGAGTTGTCATGGGGTTTATCATATGGACTGTCATGGGGATGCCAAAGGAAAGCCGCAGACAAGCAATCGCTGTCCGCAGTGCTTGCGTGACTGGAACTTGGGCAGGGTAAAGGGAGCGGCTTCGTCCTAGTGCTAAGATTTGTTGTTTTTGCTCCACTGTGAGAATTCTGGCCTTTTGTTGTACAATGTAACCTGACCGTTGAATCCTTAAATATGTTTGTACATATATTATATATATACATATATATATATATATATATATATATATATATATATATCTTTTTTTTTTTGCTTTTACCTTGTTTATTTTCATTTTTTCCTTTTTTTTTTGTATTCATCAAATTACACATTAACTTATATATATAAGTGTATTCAATTTTGGAATGAATCGAGAATGGGATTTATGTACATACATACATGCATACATGTATCTACAAACTATGTTGTCTTATTTAATAAACAAACAAAAAAATATACATTTATGTGTTTACTTTTAATTGGGTAACTATTAACCGTTAAATAATTGGAGTACATTGCATCGGACAAGGATGGCAAGGCCGGTTCCCTTTTTTGCCACTTAACGAAACTAGTTTTTAATCGATATTAATCAAATTTAAATATCGAGAATTAGATGATTTCGTTAAATTAGAAGAACACATACACAACACAACATGTTGAATTCTAATTATTTAAACTGTAATTTAACTTTTTTAATTATCACACCATATTCTACATTCGAGTATTTATTGCTCTTTCGCTTGGAATTATATGGCATAGAATGAACTGACAATATTTACAGCTGAAGAAATTGACATTAATAAGCGGCTTAATTCAAAAACATATACTCCAAATTTTAATTTATTTAACAAATAGCCTTAATCGCCACTACTGTTTTGTTGGTGATTTTAATGGTATTTTAAGTGCTACCGGCAGCATGAATATATGTATATCGGCATGATTATCAACGGCCACCCCTAATACCAATGGCCATGCTTTTGCGTTTTTGTTGGCCTGGCAACTCTGGTAAATGATACCGCTAAAATTTCAATGTTCCGTTGAGGCAAACGAATAAGTTTTATTTTATCAATTTTAATCGAAACAGGTGTGTTTTTCTCACGACGAAGTTCGCCAATCTGTGATAGGCGACAAACTCTATTCATTGTCAAAGGAACTCTTGAGAATCATAAGCCAATTTTCGAACAGGAGCTTCGTAATGGAGTCAGAGGAAGAACAGCCCCTACAGGCATCGCACAATATTGAGAACTTGGAAACTATAATACAGGACATAACGATGCCAATGATTAAGGAGCTTTTCATGGCTCACATTGGCCTAAGTAAGCTTACTAGCCCATCCGATACGCAAAGCAGCAGCAGCTACGACCTGGTAAGCTCCCAAGAGTCCCAACGCATTTCACACGAAGGAAGGCGCAATCCATATGGCATCCAGCGCAACGTAAGTGAATTGTTTGAGTTGGATAATTTGATTTTTGAATTGTCGGCCTGTTTCTGTAGAATATTGCGAGAGTGCAGCGTCGTTTACAAAGAGCAGCCAGAGAGCGTGAAGTACTACGGCAGACGCCGCACGAGGAGCCGCTGCACAAGATGATTCGCTGGCTACTGGATTTGCCACAGCGCTGTGATCTCACACGCTTTTCCTTATCCGCGCTGCGTTGCAACGAATGCTATCTATGCGAGGGCGTCGAGTATCCGTGCACCCGTTGCGGCCAGCAGTTCCATCAGGAGTGCCATGGCGATCAAGGCAGAGGCGTGCCGCATCGCCTATGCCCAACCTGTACACGTAATAATAATGGTTTGGTGGACTGATAAATAGAATATCCCTGCAACCGTTGCGGCCAGCAGTGTCCAGCGGGAGTGTCTATCCGACCAAGACAGGCTGTGCGCGTTCTGTACACGCAACAATATCGTGGTGGACTGATTTCAATATTTAATCTTTATTAACATTGAATATAAAAATACAATTACATAAACATTGTGTTAATAATCATGCTGAGCACTATGGAGGCCGGGGTCAGAAGCAGCAGCAGATGATGCTGACGCCAAGGGCCAACGGCGCCATTGCACAAGTCGCCCTGGCAGAAGCACATGTAAACCTTCTTATAGTTGTAGATGGTATCTGCACAGCGATCCATATTGTCATCCGGTCCGCGCTGCACGCACATGCGCTGTATGGCCAGATCGTAGTCTGGAGATTACAAATTCAAATTATTATTCTATTAAGATATTAGGATATAGTTCATAGCTATATCGTGAGGTCCTACCATCTAAAGCATAGGGTCCACCGCCCTCAATCACCTTGCCGCACCAGCCGCTGGCACAGGGTATAGCCGAGAGACCAGGCTCGTTGTCCACGTCTGTCGCATTGAATGTGAACGGATCCTTGCAGCTGCCCAGCTCACCACGGGAGCGACACTGATAGCATCGACGCAGAAGAGCTTTTATCCAGTAGAAGAAAAAGAGATACATATAGCGAGCGAATATAAGCACACAATAAGACAGTTACGAGGTTTTTCCATTTCTTGTAGTGCATTACGCACCCGCACATACACATGCGCAGTAAGAGTTACTATTACAGTTACGTTGCGCGCATATACATATATATGTATGCAAGTGCGTGCGTATGTTTAACAAAAGACTTTAATACAAAACTTTCTTGTTGATTAGACTTACCGTCGATTTGTGGAGCATTGCTGGTGATTATAGCAAATATCACAGTTAGTATGAACACAGACGATTGCATTTTGGAAAAATAACTTAAGCTTAATGAGTATTCGAATTGCCTTCAAGTCGTTCAAAATAGTGAGAGTAAGTTACTGTTGTATATTTGTTGTTGTTGTTGTTGTTGTTTCTGAACGAAAATCACAGGCCTGCCACTGCGCAGACAAAATAAGTCGGTTGAGAAAATGCAACAGTGTTTTTAGAGTTGCCAGACCTCAATTTTGCTTTCGTTTGACAGCACTAAACACAATTTTTCCTATTATAGCACTGTGTGTACACACTGTTGTCTAGTTTCGTTGTATTATTTCAGCGAAAAATTCATCATCTTAATATCGGGCGTATATTTTTTGTTGTTATTTTTTATTCAATAAAAACTCAAAACAAAGTAACGAACGTCAGATGCAGCAATTCAGACGCTAAACAACAAATTTAGTGCCACGGATCACATTTACTAGCGGAGTGCACAAAAATAACTCGAGTAAAAGCTGCAGTACGTACGAAAAAAGAGTACAAAAAATATAAAAGAAACAACAGAGCAACGTAAAGAAATTTTGCAAATTGTTCATAGAGACAGAACGACGGCCAGTCAGTCAAGCAGGGAGGCGGCACCAGAATCAGCAGCAACAACAACAGCAGCAGCAGAACAGCGTAATAAAACAATCTGCAACAATAAAATATTTAAATAGACATAATCTGCGCGTTTGTCATTCAGTCAAATCGCGAAGTCGGCGTCAACGTCGCAGCAGCTGGCGCTGCTGTTGCTGCTGCTCTGCTCTGCTGCTGCTCTGTTGTAACGCAACCATAAACGCAAACAAAACGGAGTAGCGGAAGCGTCGCTGCTGGCGTAGGCAGACACCTTGCAACTGCACTCGCTGTCCGCTGTCCGCTGTCTGCACTCCGTTGTCTTTCAAGTTCAATGCGATTTGGTTGCAGCTTTTTTTTTTTTATTGTTTGTGTTGTCATTACTGTTGTGTGCGTGTGTGTGTGTGCTGGTCTAACGCTTTCCGTGCATCCTGCAGCGGCTGCCCCCACTGACTGATTGAGCCAAGGAACAGGCAACAACAACAACAGCAATCGAGAGGCCAAGAGGTCGCCAGGAGCGCTATGGCATTGGACAGCGTCACGCAAACGATGACGGGCAGCAATGCGCTGACATCATCCTTTACGACGAAGAAAAAGGATGCCGCCGCCGCCGACAAGGAGAACCTCTGGTGAGTTGAGCTTAGTAGGAATCTATAAATCTATGTGTGCGTGCGTGTGTGTGCGTGTGTGTGTGTAGGGACTCAGACATATGACAAGCAAATTGCTCTTGGCCTAAACAGCTGCTATTGGCTATTTTATTTTATTTATTTTTTTATATAATTTTTTTTTATTCATTTATTTATTTTCGTCTGTTTATTTTTTAATTTTTAATTTATCAATTCATTTTTTTTTGTAAATATTAATTTATTTGTTACTTTCTTTAGCTGACGTTTGCAATATATATTTTTTTGGTAACTGCTATCTTGCTTTTACTCCCTATCTGTAAAGTGTATGTGTGTTTGTGTGTGTGAGCAGCCGGCTGCAATTGCCACCTGCCACACCCACAACACTTGGTGTGGGGGCTGGCGAGGCATAAAAAGCAGCTGATTTTATGCCGCTCTTAAATTTAGTGTATGTTGTCATTTTGTGCCATGATTTGCCTAACCTCAAACCTCGTTTGGCTCACACACACACAGACTCACACACCTGCACGCACATGCGCATTATATATGTATATGTGTTTGAATTTTGGCAAATTTTCTCTTGTGCCAAATGTGTAATAGATTTGTGGCAAAAACACAGACTAAATGCTAAAAACAACAATACAAATATACAATGTATGCATGTGTGTGAGAGTGTGTGGAAGTGTACGGGAGCGAGAGAGGGTGAGCGTGAACTAGCGTATGATTCATAAAACAGCAAAATCGAGGGCAGCGTCGCCGGCTGCGCAGTCGACAGCGCGCACCTTTTGCTTTATCAATTTTTGTTATGCCTAATAGGCAAGGTACACACACACTGAAAACACAAACACAAACACAAACATACACGCACACATGGAAAGCCATAAGCCGAGCTATCGATAGTTCGACTCCATTTATACTGTTGACAATCCAATTGGAATTTGCATTGCCCAATGAACGAAGACTAGCTTTAAGTCGGCTCAATGCGTGTGTGTGTGAGTGAGTGTGTGCGTGCGCGTGTCCGTCTGCATGTGTGTGTGTGTGTATGTGTACGATTTGGTGATGTTGTCATCGTTTAAATATGTACATGTTGCTCACCGTCAGCCGTTAGGTGGCGCGCATGTGCAAAACACCTTCTGACGCAGATCGATTTGGAATGCGTCGGAAAACATATGTAAGACTCCAATTAGATTAGCGCGAATCGAGTAAACCATATGTGATTTATTTCTAGAAATAAGAATCAATTGCTGGCTAATGTGTGGTTCGAACAAAATATATTGCACTCATCCAAATAGGTTTATTTTCATAAGAAGCCCGTATTTTGTTTCCTACTCCAGCCTTAGATCTAGAATTTCAAATGCCTAATTGAAAGAAATTTAATACTCTATTGATATTTTATTGCGAATTTGCAACATCGATATTAACCAATTAATGTTAATTAATTAAGGATTAACTAATTTTCGCATATCAAAAAACTTGGGTTACATTTCAATTTGCTTAAGCATATTGTTTATAATTGTAATTAGTTTACCATAAATCGTTGAGTATTCATAGACAATTGGTCTTTGCTATATTCCCGCAGTCATCAATCGATTTACGAGTCTTGTTTATAGGTATTATTATTTCAAATGACCTAGTTTTCTTTTCGATATGTACTTATTGATATTCGTATATATATTTTATTTTTATTTGCTAATTTATAATTTAGTAGCGTTATTTATCGATATTTTCATATTGATTTTATAGTTTTCCTTTCAGTTATTAACAATCCCACATCGATATTTATCGATATCCGTATATATTTGTATATTGGTTAATGTGAGCTAATGTTTTACATTTTATCGATGAAGACATCGTCGTTATCGTTGTCGTTGTCATCGTTATCGATGTGCGTCGTCTGCCGTTGCTGCTTATCGAAATTGTTCTGAATTCGCTCCAGCAAATCAGTAGCAACAAGTGCAAAATCCTCCCACAAAGCATCTGGAGCCGCATCTGTCTCCAATTCCGTCTCCGGCTCCGGCTCCGTCTGACGCTCTTTTCTCGATTGCTGTTCTTCTTCCGGCTCATCGTCGTTGGCCTCGTCGCCTGCTGTCAAACGCTCCTCATCCAAATAGTCGGCCAACAGATCGCTGACCTCGTCGAGAATGCTGCCGCTACGGCAGAGGGCTGTCGCGCATTGGGCATCGATCAGCAGATTCCACATGGCTTGACACACGATGTTCGCGAGAAACCAATCCTCCTGCTCCAGAGCGCCGCGCAGCAGCAGCGCCAGCAACTCGGCCCCACGCAGCTGTAGGAACGGAGCACGCTGCTCGCCGTCGCCCAGCAGATTGACGAGCACTCCAATGGCGCAGGTGCGCAGCTCGTAGTCCCGGCCGTTCGCCTGCCGCGTCAGCTGCTGCACGATCAGGGGCAAGCCGCCGGCGGCACAGAAACAGCGGCGCGCCAGCTCGTTGCGCGTCAGATTGCCCAGGACACGGGCCAGCTCCACCTTGGTGGACACGTACTGCGACTGGCAGCGCTTGAGCGTTTGAGCCAATGCAGTGGACAGCTCGGCAATGAGACTCTGCAGCGAACCCGGCGCCGGCGCCGGAGCGACAGTTGGAGTTGGAGTTGGAGCAGTCGAAGGCATCGTTGTCGTGCTCGCGGCTGCTGGCGATGTCGTCTGGTTATCCTGATAGAAGCACAGATTGTGCAACGCGCCCAGCGTGGCATGCAACAGCTCCAGCAGCTCGGCCGGCTGAGCGGATTCCGTCGCTGTGCTGCCCAGTGCGACGGTGGCATTCTGCAGCAGTCGGAATAGGACAGCGCCCAGTGCATGAACATTGCCCAGGCCGGCGCCCACATCCGCATTGACGCTCATGTTGGCCACCACGCGGATCAGCTTGATCTGGGCATCCAGCAGCGGCTCGCTGGCCAGCGGACGTTCGCTGAGCTGCTGCAGCACATTCAGCAGATACTCCATGGCCACGTCGTTGTGATAGTACTGCAGGGGCAAAGAGAATTATTGAAATGTACTATATATATTATATATTATGTAGATATCTGGACACAGACCTGGACGCGCGCCGTTTCGTGCTTGGCCAGAATGTTGCCCAGCATATAGCCCAGGCGACTGAGCACGGCCAGCATGCGCTCGCTGCACTGGCCGCCCTTGGAGTACGGGCCGAGCAGCAGGCCAATGCGAGCGGCATAGCTGTGCAGTGTGTCGCAGCACTCCACATCCTCGGACAAGACGCTGCCCGGGAAAGAGCGAGAAGTTAGAAATCCAATTGGAACAGCGACTAGAAGTCTTTGCTTACCTCAGCGTGCGCACCACATTCGCTTGCACCTCCAGCTCGCCCATGGAGACCTCGGCGGCGCGTATCAGATGCGGACAGGCCAGCTGCAGCTGCAGCTGGAGCCGCTGCTGCTGCTGGGCCACGTCGGCGAGGGCGCGCATCGCCGCCGACAGCTGATAGAGCGTGTGCAGCGGCGGGCCGCTGAGACGGCGTGTGGCGCCCGCCTCGTTCAGCATCTGGAGATGCAAAATCATCAGCTCGACGGCGCCGTGGCGTGCCAGGCGCGACACCAGCGTCTGTTGGCCATTCAGCTTGCGTGTGTCGGATGCACTGGGACTACTGGTCAGGGCTGTGGCAGCTGCGATCGCTGCGTGCGTCGGCGGCGGCGACGAGAGCTCCTCCAGGCCAGCGGCCCAATTGCGATTGAGCGCATCGTCGCGCTCCTGCGCATTGCTGGCCGTGAGGAATCGTATGCAGCCGTAGGCATAAATGCAGGCCTCCGGATCGTCCAGCGGCGAAGCGTGACCCAGGCCATCGATCAGCAGCTCCAGCACATCGTTCTCGTGGAACAAGCCGTCGTGCTGCTCGTGGCGAGCCACCTTGAAGATGAGCTTGCAGGCGCCGGTCAAGTTGCTGCCCGTCACGCGTAGCTATACGAAAAGAGGGAGACTTTAGATTGAATTTGAAGAGACTCACGAATCTCAATTAAATAATATGGATATCGATAAATAGCAATGACCTTATCGTCTATCGATATTGAAACACTATGCAAGAAGAGAAGAGGTTCTACATAAAGGATATTGATTATTTTGGATAAGTTATTGGATATACAATATCATACCAAGAAGAGAAAGAGATTATATGGAGTTTGAGGTGACTCTAAGGAATTCCCATCCATCAATAGCATACGGATTAAGATTAACGATTACTCGTGATAAGTTATCGCGCCTTATCGCTTATCGATATACGCTCCTATTGTGAAACACTTACCGCCAGCACAACACGCGCCACAGCCAGCAGGATTCGTGGCGACGTGCACTCGACCAGGCCATAGAGTCCGCCCAGGATGAAGGCGCGCTTGAAGTTCCTCTCCTGCTTGTGCACGCGCGTATACAGCTCCAGCAAAATCTGCAGTCAGCCGAGCAGAGGGAAGGAGGGTGAGAGAGAGGGCGATGAAGTTGATAATCCCCACTTACCGCATTGATGTGCTGCACTGTCTCGGCACTGCAATCCTTGAGGCCGGCATGCTGCTTCAGCATCTCGATGAGCATCTCGGAGCTGCACTGGCCCAGCAGTGCGCCATTGCGCGTGGCCGGCCGTGCGCTGTCTGCCGCCGTGCCCGGCAAGGCGGGCAATTGCCGTGGCTTCGCATCAACGACGATGCGACGATTCAACAGAGACAGATCCGTGCCGCCGGCTGGCGTGGGCGGCGTCAATGGCTTATGGTGCTCGTTCTGCAGATATCGCATGCTGTGCGCGTGTGTGTGTGTGTGTGTGAAAAGAGTAGAGACTTGTCTGAGAAGTGAGAGAGTGGGCGATACTCACGAGAAAGCGCTGGGCGGGCGGCCGGCCAGCGCCACCTTGCCGTAGAGCACACGTCCGGGCTCCCGTGGCGTTATGGGACGCCGTGTGCTGACCAAGCGGGCGCCGCCAGCTGCGGTCATTGCGGCCGCCGCCGTTGCCGTCGTCGTGGACAGGTCGCCCAGGTAGAGCTTGGCCTCGCTGATGAGCTCAGCGGAGGTCTTGCGTCTGCCCATGCCGGTGCCCAGGCCCAGGTGTTGTATGCTATGTTCGTTGTCCTTTTGCTGTTGTTGTTGTTGTTGCTGCTTTTTTGTTGTCTCTTGTTTTGGTGGCGCTGCCGCTGCTGTTGGCTGAGCACGGGTCTCGCTGCGCGACCGTCGCTTTAGCAGCAAACTCATTCTGAGCGTGAGGAACGACTTCAATTGCTGCACTGAAATTGAGATCTGGAATCTTGAGATTGACGGACTCTGGTCCGGCTCAGTGTATATTTGTGGTCCAGTTTTGACGCGTGGCGCGGCCAAAGTGCGCAAAGGTAATGCCAGACGTCTTGCCTCCTGCCTGGCCTATTGGGCCATTCGGGCGAACTTTGAAAGCTTGGAAAATATTTTTCGTTTGGGCCTTTCGTGCACCATGCCAACCGGCCTGGAACTAGCCCGGGTGCGGACATGGGGGGGGTAGAAGGGGTGGGCACTGCTGCCGGGTTGTTTTTGCATGTCGAGCGAGCTAGCGAGTGAGCTAGCCAACCCCCTTTCAACTAACCGTCGCCCCCTTTAGTCAAATGCCAGCCAAGGTACAGTGGGTTGAAAGCTTCTCAGAACTGAAATAGAAGTAGCAATAGCAAAAAAAAGTATTTTTATATGCATATATTATTCAATATGCAAAATATATATTTTATTATTTATATATTATTTTATATTATATAATCTTTTGCTATATATTTGTAAAAGATTTGATTTTATAATTAAATAAAACGTATTAAAATTTGAGTTTAGTTTAGCTTAACATATTCTTAAATATAAATATAAAAAAACATGTTTTATTTATTTTTAGTCTGTCAACATTTGATAATTTAGTCTACCATACCTTCAATTATAAATATAATAGTGATTCTAGTATTTTTATTTCCAAAATTTTTCAATTACTTAATTCTATAAAATAAAAAACTTAAGTTAATTAAGAATCATAATTTATTAAAAAAAAAGAAACAGTAATTCTATAAAATAAAAAAAATTTAGTTAATTATGAATCATAATTTATTAAAAAAAAAAAAAAAACAGTAAAAGTTACGAATAGTCGAGGCCAATATATTTATCATTTATTATTTATTTAATCATATACATATTTAGTTGATTTTCAACCACTGTGCACGGCGCAACACCTTTGAAAACTCAATAGAAGAGAATTGTTATGAAGCTAAAAGTGAGAAATCGGGCAATCGATATTCGCAGTACGCAATTTTTGGCACGAACGAGTTGGGTGCTCCAACGTCCAGCTTAGCATGTCTAACCTAACGGTTAGTCAATCAGTTAGTTAGTTGGCCGGCAAAAACGCCCACCGTTTGGTGAGTCAGTTGGCCAGAGGACAATTTTCAATTGAAATATTTAATTCAATTGAATTGAATTGCAGAAATGGTTCGTTGAAAACTGGAGCTCTTCATATATACACATATATACATATGTATGTGTGTATGTATGTATGTGTGTGTGTGCATATATAAAGTAACAATGCCGACCTCATAAATAGCAAAGGTATGCAATTAGCTTGATTGCGTGGCATGCCACAGTATTGAGAATTGTGTTTTATAGCTGGTCTCGGGATACGAACGGCTACGGGTTACGGGTTACGAGTTACGGACTAAGAGTGTGGGGCTTATGGGCATGGACAATGGGTCTTTGGGATTGACCCTAGCCGTTTGGCTGTCGTTCGACACGGTGACACGAAATTGGGACGGCTTTAATGTAGATTGCAAAAATTTGATAGCCAACGGAATAGTGACCTAAATTCAAATTTCTCATTACAGGTCAGCGATATTGAATGAAGTACAAACACAAGGCAGCACAAAACTACCATCAAATAAATCTGTACTAGTATTAGGCGATAATGCCACTGGTAAGACGACGCTCATTGCGAAGCTGCAGGGCGTCGAGGATCCGAAGAAGGGTTCCGGCCTGGAGTATGCCTATATTGATGTCAAGGATGAGTACAGAGACGGTTGGTGTTCTGAGTTCCTGAGTTCCATATGCATACATATTAATTGAACATTGTTGCCTTGCTTGCAGATATGACGCGCCTCAGCGTTTGGGTACTGGATGGCGATCCAGGACACACAAATCTGCTGCATTATGCGCTCAACGAAACGAACTATGCACACACCCTCGTCATATTAACAGTCTCGATGACACAGCCGTGGGGCTGGCTCGAGCAGCTCAATCAGTGGATCAAGGTGCTCGCCCAGCACATTGAGAGCCTGCAATTAGATCCCAAAGAGAAGGAGGCGGCACGCCAGCGATTAGCAACGACGTGGCAGAGCTACTGTGAGGTGGGCGATGATCTCGATCCCGGCTCACCAGTTAAACGCACCATGCACAACAATTCGATCGATGAGGATGATCTGTTGCCGCTGACAGAGGACGCACTAATTACAAATCTGGGCCTGGACATTGTTGTTGTGGTCACAAAGGTGTGCGACACTGAGACTTGGCTGATTTCATTTACTATATTCTCAAAACCTTTCCCGCCCACAGACGGACTACATGTCAACACTGGAGAAGGAGTACGAGTACCGTGACGAGCATTTCGATTTCATACAGCAGTGGATACGAAACTTTTGTCTGCGGCACGGCGCTTCGCTCTTTTACACGAGCGTGAAAGAGGACAAAAACTGTGATCTCCTTTATAAATATCTAACGCATCGAATTTATGGTCTACCATTCCGTACGCCAGCGCTAGTCGTTGAAAAGGATGCGGTGCTCATGTAAGAGGATTTCAATCACATCCATCATATCCGTAATGGCTGATTTGATTTGATTTTGCCTTTGCAGTCCGGCGGGTTGGGATAGCCTGAAGAAAATAAGTATTCTGTATGAGAACATGCATGCGGTCAAGGCCGAGAATCATTACACAGACATCATCAAGGCGCCGCCCACACGAAAGGTGATTCCTATACGAGCATCGCTTGTCCAAGTGTTAATTTCTATTCACAATTTTGTCTATATTTGTTGCTGCAGGCCGTTTCCAATCGCGAAACAGAGGTGCAGACCGAGGACGAGCAGGCCTTCCTGGCACGCCAGCAGGAGATACTCAAGCAAGGCGGACAGGTGCGTGGCGAGTCGCCGTTGCGATCACAGGGCGCCAATGCCAGCGCCAACAAAAGTGGACCACGCACACCCGGCAGCGCCGGTCAAAGTTCACCCAAAAAGGTGAGTGGCTTTTAGCCGTCTATCGCACTCTCCACTTTATGATTTCAATATCGGTATTTCAGATTGATCCCAAGCTAACGCCTGCCACGCCCGGCGGCGAAGGTGTGCTGGCCAACTTCTTTAATTCGCTGCTGCATAAAAAGTCGGGCGGACCAGCCGGTGGGCCGGCGGGCGCAGCCAGTCCTGGCGGCGGCGTGGGCACGCCACGTACCTCCAATGGCACCGATTCTCTCTTGACGGGCGAAAAGATATCCGTGCGATCCGATGCGGCTGCTGAGCTCGATCGATTGGCGCGCAGCGTCAAAAAGGATATTGATCTATCCCAAAGTGAGTGTTGAAGGCGTAGTTACCGTGCAGGCAGCATCAGTAGAAGCTACAACAGCAGCAACTCTATATATGTATAAAACAAAAAAAAAACAACAACACCATCAACAACTATAAAAACATCAACAGCAGCAGCAACAACAACAACAGCAGCGCAGCAACAGCAGTAGTATCAGCAACACATACACAACAGACTCGTAAACTCAACTAGAGGACTTTCATCATGCTCTGCAGATCAGAACTCTTCCATGGCAGCGAAGATAGCTAAACAGCTGGAGAAAACTCGACAGCGCATACAATGAGCTCAACGATGTTAGCCAGCTGTTTGGGCCATGCGACACTAGAAAATGAAAAACAATATTTCGCTTGAATTCCACAGACATCAAATGTTAAAAAAGATTTGTTATTAAGTTGCGTTTGGCATTGTGAATGTGTATCGTTCGCTGAGTGTTGGTATTTTTAACGAGAGCTGGGTAATATGTAGAATACGCATTACATACGAAACATTATAAAAACAAAACAAAACAAAACAAAACATAAAAAAAAAGAAATAAAACTAAGACAAAAGAGAAAGAAAAACAAAAAACACATTGAAATAATGAGAGTTTAGCTAAGCGAGCAAACATTTAGAGAGGGGACAGCGCTTCCTCCACATGCTTCTCCACTTCGGCATGTATGTGCTTATTCTAAAAATTGATGTACACATACACAGATATATATATGTATATGTATATGTATATACAAATATATATGTATTGATATATATATATTTTTTTTTTTCATCTGTGTTTAAGCATAGTCTGGGGCCACACGTGTGTATATTTAAATTATTTAAATTATGTAATTTTCAAAATGTATTTAAGAATGCGACAATTGTGAAATTCTGTTGCGCGTTGAGAGATTCAAAAAGTCCAAAGCCCAAAGCGCCCAAAATGGCTTGGCAACTGCATCTACACACTTAAAACCCACACACTCACACTCACACAACTAACTGTAATTGATAGCTTGTATGTACTTTTTAATTATATTAATTAATTACACACACACACACACTGGCTTTATGTAGTATTTGTTACAGAGATATTTGTTGTGCAGCAGCAGCAAAAAAAAAAAAAAAAAGGCGAAGAACAAGAAAAACCGCAACATAAAAAAAAAAACAAGCATAAGCAAATTTAAATAAGTATTTAAATGAACATGAAATAATCCCCAATTGTTGCGCATTGCGTTTTTCTTTGTAATTATTAAAAGAAAAAAAAAACTTGATTTTAATAGTCTGATTTTTTTTTTTCGCTCAAAGCCACACGCGTTTAATTAATATTGAGTAATGAGAGTAAATAACGGTAAATAAAAAACGAAACTAAAATAAACACAAAAGCAAAAACTAAATGAGATGATTTATAATATTGTGAATGAGTTTTACTAAGAAGTTTTTAACAAAAAAGTCAAGTACTCAAGAGCCTACGCTGCAATATGATCGACCCAAAAAGTTTGTAAAAACTGTATAAAAATATGCAAATATATATATATAGATATATTATTATATGTATTGCATATTATAAAGACAGGCGATATACATTCATTCATTGATCAATCAATACTTAATTAGCGAAATTGGTTTTCGATTGTATTTTAATGTTTAACCGCAAGTATCGAAATGTATAAAAGAGAAAATACAGAGATAAGAACAAAGTATAAACAATATCAAATTGTAACAGTTAACAGAGAGCGAGTTGGGGATGACGTTTGTACTTTTGTAAATTAGGCCAGAATAAAAGCTTGAAAGCCTCGCTAACAACAACAATCTGAATCAAATTGTTTCCAATTTCAATCAATCGACTCTTTGCCATATGCCTTGACTCGGCCACTGCCGCCCCGCCCCCCTCCATTTGATGTCACTATTCACTTTCACACACAGCTCGCTGTTTGCCTCTCGCTCTATGCTGTGCGCGTCTCAATTGAAACAACAAAAATCATAATTGTTAAGCATAAGCACTCACTATATATAATATATGTATATACATACATATATAGAAGGCACATCAATTGATGCTACTGAATCTATTTTTTGTGTATAAACAAATTGATTGCATATGAAACTATTGTATTACGGATTATTGTGAAGCACACACTCACACACACACACATACATTTCAATTGAGAACCAAGTGAATATAGTATATATATATATAGTATATACATCTATTGTATTTATTCCGCAATAATTTCAGAAGTACACTGACTACACTAACAACAACAACAACAAGAACAACAAAAGCATCTAGAGCGTTGACTAATTTCTGTGAATCCCGAACGAAACTTAATGTTAATTTATACATTTAAATATATAAAAAAAAAAAAAATTGATATCAAATGCAATACAACAGCCGCATTGAAAATATTTCAAATTTAAAAATTTACAAAACAAAAAATTAAAAACAAATACAAAAATAAAATATAAAAAATATATAAAAAATATTTGCAGAATTCTTTGCTTATGCTTAAATTTACATCGGGTTCGAATAAATTTGCTTTGTTCGGTGTCAGCATGCCTACACACGCATACAAGAATACACACACATTTATACATACATACATACACCTACATACATACATGTATTTTTAATTTATTCATTTATGTATTTTCTAAGCATTCACTAAACATTATTTTATTTGCAGCTCGCAAGCCATCGCTAGTGGTTCCATAATTATCCACCCATATGTATATCAAGTTCATTTGATCCTTGCCAAGGATATAGTTCGGGAAGCAAGCAAGTTATCTAGCATTCAAGAAACAGTCTGTGTCCAGAAGCTGTAATTAAATTGTTCGCAAACAGAATTTTGTTTGCTCGGTATTTGAGCTAAATTTTTGGAAATTTTCATGCTTGATCATTTTGGAATGGAATTAAATGATCAAAAGAAAACAAAATCTCGATAAATATATGTTGATTTTTTTTTCCTTTTTCTACTGATTAAAATGCTATGGAGTGGCGTAAAGGAATGACTCATTATTTATTTATTAAATGTTGAAGAGACCTCGTATTTCTAGAGTGATTAAATTTATTTAATTATATTTGTTTTTTTTTTATTTTTTTTTTATTTGTACTCACAAGGTAAACGTGAATTGATAAGCGTGCATTTGACTACGGCCTTGAATCGAATGAGGTTGCCCGGAAAGAATTAACCGGAAATGGAAATACAAGAATCGAGTGGGGAGTGGGGCTGCTAACTGTTAGCTCTTAGCTGCTGGCTTTGATGTGGAGGCTTTTATTAATGATGTTCCAGTTGCTGTCAGCGCGACTGACGCTGCCGATGATTATCAAGTTTCAAAGGCAGAGGCAGGCCATAACATTTTCACATCATTGATATTTTCATTTCGATAATGATTTTCACAAAACGTCAAGCGGCATATATGTATGTATGTATGTATGTACATGTGTCTGTGTGCGCCCCCAAGGCCTGCCTGGCTTGGCAGGCTGACTGGAAATATGAAAGGAAAGAAAACGCCCCGGCGTCAAAGGAACAGCTGCCAGATGTTTAGCTGGGCCATGTTTGCCTTGATAGCTACAAGGATAACACTTTACTTGACCTTTGTGTGTGCGCGCACTTGATAAATGATGACGGCGTTGTTACCACTGCCACCGCCATTTCCTGCCGCCTTCTGCCAGCCTCCTGCCAGCCTCTGTTACTGCTTCTTCCGCAGCTCTCCCACTCGTCTGTCTGGGTTTGCTACTTAGTTGTGATACTCTTATTGTTTCAGCTCACAGCCTTGCGCTTTTCGAATGCTGTGTGTGTGTGAGTGTGTGTGTGTCTCTCTGCTGCTTCGCTCGCTTCCTGCTGCAGTGTCCTGTGCTTAATCCTGAAAGATGGCAGCCGCTTGCTACGTGCTCATCTCGCTTATTGCCAGCTATGCCCAACTTTCGACTTGGCTCAATATTGACATTGATTTTGATTTGATGGTCCGCTGCAGCGAGAGAGCTTTGGTATGTTTCAATGCAATTGGCTGGCCCACTGAATATCATTATATTATCTTAACAGATATACATATGCTTTATCTTGAAATGTTGCTTTAAAATATATTCAATTTGTTTATCAAGGCATTATTAATCAGTTGACTTTAGTGCTCATGAGAACTGCATAGAAAGGCAGTAATGAATGCTAGTCTGGGGTCAGTTTAAAGTCTGAAGCCAAAGAGAATCATTTCCACTTGACACTTCTATATGCCAAGAGCTTGTTAAACACACCTGGCTGATTTCTATGACCAGGTTATACTCGATACTTACATGCATCCCATTTGTGATGTCATTCATAAATATCTATCTGTCAATGATTTTGTTTGTGGACAGTTAATTATTATTTAAAGTTTCATACAGACACACGCTCAACATTTAGATCATTTAATTGGGCAATTAATAATGAATAATAATTTCCCTATTTTTGGACAATAAAGTAATTTACTGCAATTAATTCGATTTATAAAAACTATCTATATTTCATATGCTCCACGGACGGTATCCAAACAGACAGACAAATTGTGCTGCCATTTATTTGATATTTATTTACAGCTGTGCACACTTCTTGATAATACAGACCACACACACACCCACACACCCACACACACACGACCACATATACCGCAATACAATGCTGTTAATGCGAAAATAATTAATGCATATAAAAATTCAAATAAATATATTGTGGTTAATTTCGACCACAAATATATTTGGCCGATATATAAATATTTATATATATACAACATTAATCGGTTACACCAGCAACAATATGTTCCATGGATATTAATGGGTCTAATTAAATTTGCATAAAGTTTGCGTCACACAAAATTCGTTCAAAGTGCTACAGACAGCCGGAGGAGAGGGCATATCACGCAATACCCTAGACATGCTAGGTTTATCAATTAACAGAACTCACATGTTAAGTATTGCAAAACGAATAGATATAGAGTCCAATTAGCTGCGACTCATATAATAAATTCTAGACCTTGTCTATAGAGCACTGTGCATACAATGTCAAAACATGAATAATATACATATGTATATCTTCTTTGAGAA